CGCAACTGTTTCTTATTTATGACTAGTTAGAAACTAAATACATCCAGGTCGATCTGACATCATTTGAAGGATCTATTTTTCCGGCAAAACTTTCATCTACTTTTCTTTTATAATTTGTGTCCTGGCGTGAGCAGGTATCTAACTAGCTTGGTTTGAGGGATTCCACCTGGCTTCTCCGGCAGTGGGACAAATTGGCGCAGTGGCGGTTGATAATTCATGAGTCCGCCGAAAGCTCAGTCGATATCGCGCTGGGCAATTGGTGCGAATGACTCTGGTTCAAATGTCAATGCCGCGTTCCTCAACTTTGGTTGTTTGGCGTGTTTTTCAGGGTTTCAATCTACTTGGCTTGGTCCTGGTGGGAATGGATGTTAAATTCAGAGAATCGGCCTCTTGAATGGCTTTACAGTTTCAAAAGGAATGTTTAACCTGTACCATGCCAAACAACGTTGTATGATATTAGCATTTAATTTATTTCCTCTCTTTCGAGAGCAAATGTCTGAACTTCAAAGATTTTGATCTCTTGAATCGCCCTTAGTGAGTATTATGAGGACATACTATCAGCGCACAGGAGGTTTCCACTATCTTAATAAAGTGTTGTAGTATGCACAACAAACCAGGATGCTTAAATAGAACGTCCAATACAAATAGCCAGTTGATGTTAAGCCAAAAGAAATCTGAACCATTCTCATGTATCAAGCCGCCAGGCGTCTATTTAGAAATCCCGAGCAGTAAAAAATGTAGTGGTCTTAAATCGTTCGTACAAGTCGTGATTGTGTCTGAAGCCGGCGTCCCAGACATTGGCCGTCCTCCCTCTTTTATTATCCTCACAAGCACAGTCCCATTTTCATCTTTCTCCATTTCGGCTGCGGGGTTGGAATTTTTCTCTTTTTTGCGTTTTGTTTTTGTGCTGGTTTGTCTTCTTTTCTTCCCGCAATGTGTCCTGAGGCGCCCCATTCGGACTCATTTTCCAGCCCATCTCACGCCCGGCCAGCGGACACGTTTTTTGCTGGCTGTCTCAAAGAAATTTGCCGCTGTCTCTCATGATTATAACCGGAGGCTCAGCTATCCCATCCTCATCCCTCCCCCCTTCCCTCATGACAAACCATTCCACCCTAATGCCCTAATCCCTTCCCCCCCCCTTTTTTTTTCTTTTCGTCCCCAAGAGCAAATCTGGTACTATCATCTGGAATCCCCCCCCCCCCTCCAAACCCACTCCGATCTTTTTTTCTTCGCAACGGCAGCTAAGATCTTCCGCGCCAACTACCAAGGGCCCCAATAACCCCAGCTCTCGCTGCCCCTGTTTCTCAGTTTTTCTCCCCAG